ACATCCAGGTGGAGGAACTCACATGGACAAAGGCATGGAGCAGGGAGCTCAGGGTTACTCTGGGAGCTCAGGGTAGTTAGAATGTGGATCTGGGGGTTGGAGTACAGGAGGTCTTGCCTGGAAGGCAGCCTGGGCCAAGACGTGAAGGCTGCCAGCATCTGGCCAAGGAGGCTGAACTCAATTCTGAAGACTGTGGGGAGCCTGGGGTAGGGCAGGGTTTCTCCACCTCAGCACCATTGACTTATTGTGCATTCTAAGATGGTTAGCCCTCGGAAGGAAGATGGGGCAATCTACTTCCATAGTGATACTGCCTTGGAAACCCAAGCAGGGGTCGCTATGAGTCGGGTCCGACTCGACATCTCATAACAACAACAACAACAACAAGACATTTAGCAGCATTCTTGTCCTCTACCCACTAGATGCCAGTAGCACCCTCTACCAAGTTGTGAAAAACACAAATATCTGCAGACATTGGCAACTGTCCCCCCAGGGGGCCAAAACACCTCCTGGCTGAGAACCATTGGATTAGGGGATGACATGACTATGCTATTCTTTTAAGAGCTGGCACTGACCAGAGTGTGGATAGCATATTGGAGGACCAGCGCCTGAAGTCCAGAAGGCCACTTGGGATATCACTGGAGCATTGCAGGTAGGAGGTAGCCAAGGCTGGAGCCGGGGTAGGTGGGTGCTGTGGGGCCAGGTGACCCAGATTGTGGGACACCCCTGCTGCTTCTGAGTTTTAGCAGAGTCCCCAGTGGCAGTTATAATATGGTGGGTGCCAAGATCAATCCCTCATCCTGAAGAGAGAGTCCTGGGCCGCCTGTGCAGGCCACGCTAAAGGGTGGAAACTGGCCCAACCAGAATTTGTCATTGCCCATCTCCAAGACACTGAGGTTGGAGAGGCCAAGAGAAAGGATTTTTGAGAAGGAAGCTCAGGGGAGTGGAGGGGCGCTTCCCCTTATCTTGGGCCAAACAGGAGGGGCTACAAGGGACCACTGGGAGAGCTTCTGTACTCCCAGGACTTTAGGGACCATGAGACTAATGGAGGATTCCCATCTGCTTTGTTCACTGCTGAGTTCTCAGCACCAGGGTGTGGCTGGCACACAGTGGGTGCTTGATAAAGATTTGTGGCCTGAGTTATAGCCTGTGGCTAGAGGGACCTGAAGTAGCAGTGCTGGAGGGAGATGGGTGCACGGGGTGCAAGCTGTGTTGCTACAGGTGTAGGGCAAAGGGAGTACCACCATGGGCTCCCAAGAGGAAGCCAACTTGAAAGAGACTGTAACCAAAAGGGCTTCCTGTTGGGGGTGGTAGCCTCAGCAGGAGAAGCCACGAGGACTGTCATTAGATGGAGGAGCTGAAGGGGATGTGGTAAGCTGCGGGCAGCAGGAGGCTCAGGTATCGCAGGTGCCAAGAAGCCATGGACAGACGAAGCAGCAGGAAAGTCTCCAAGAAACTTGCAAAAGTGCTTCCAAAGAGCAAGATCCAGACACTGCCTCTCAAAACCCTCATAATAAGGTAGGTGACAACTGTAACTGCCATGGAATGCTGCTTCCCCTCTCTCCTGGGCCTGACCTGGAGGGGTCACACCTATCAGAGTCAAAAGAGATGACACCATGTCCTCTTCCAGGCAGGCTTCCATATCTGGGCCATCTGGCTAGAGAAGGGGAGAAGCTCCAGCTTGCCCCTTTGGATGAGAGATCGGAACTGTAATTACTTCCCAGGGGCAGGACTGAACTTTGTGATCTGAGCAAAACCAAGGATTGTTTGATGCCTAAGAGGATGGAAAAGCTCTAGGACCTGCCCAAGACTTCATGCAGAGTCTGGGAAAGGACAAGCACCTCAAGCAAGCTTCACAGGGACTATGGCTTTCTCCCTACACCCTGTGCCAGTTATCTGTCTGTTCTCCGCTCCACTTCCACCTCCCCCCACTCCCGCACTGCTCTTTATTAAGGTGGGCTGACACAAACTACATTTCCCAGGTTCCCTTGCCAAATAGGGCTTTTTTTTTTTTTTTTTTAAGTTTGGCCAATGGGAGGCACTGGTAGAAGATTGGAGGGCAGAAGGAAGGGAGAAGCCAAAGTGCTATGTCTTTTCATGGTTCCATATTCCTCCAGGTGCCCTGGTTCCTGGCTCTGTTTATAATACCTCCAGCGTGAGGCAGGACTTCAAACTGGTTCATTCTGGTTTGATCCGCAGCAGAGAATTTGCATTTCCACTCCAGATCTACTGAATCAGAATCTACATTTTAGCAAGATTCCCCATGTGATTCTTAGAGATGCCCAGGAGATTCTCATGTATACATAAGATCTGTTGAAATGATTCTCATTCAGTATATCTGGGGTGGAAATGCAAATTCTCACCAGGGGGTCCAACTGGAATGAACTGGTTCAAAGCCCTATTTAAGTACCAGCAGGTTCATCCAAAGGAACTCTGGTAGTGCGGTGCCTAAGGCATTTCATTGCTAACCAGAAGGTTGCAAATTCAAACCCACCAGCCACTCCATGGAAGGAAGACCGGGTAACCTACTTGAGTAAAGATTTACTTCCTCGGCAACCCAGTGAATCCAATGGGGCTCAGTATGAGTTGGAATTGACTCCATGGCAGTGGGTTTAGGTTCATCCATGGTGAACAAGTTTCAGCACAGCTTCTAGACTAAGACACACTAGGAAGAAAGATGTGGCCATTTACTTCTGAAAATCAGCCAATGAAAATCCTATGGATCACAACAGAATATTATCCAAAATTGTGCTGGAAGATAAGCCCCCTAGGATGGAAGGCACTTGAAATACACAGTGGCTACAACAGTAGACTTCAGCATATCAACAATCTTGAAGATGTAGCAGGATTGGGTAACATCCTTGAAGCCCAGCTTGTTCAGAGTGCACTGTTATGACATTTGGGAGTTGTGGTGGGAGGTGGGATCCCAGGAGGAGTCCCATGTTTGGGTGGTGATGGGGCCATTCACTGGGATGGGGAAGCTGGCACAGGGAACTGGTTGGAGGGGATGAGTCATTTGGACCAATTGGGTTTGAGGTGCCAGGGGAACATCTAGGGAGAACCATATTCCCCTGCTTATACCAGGGGACACTCCCACTCCTGACCGTTGGCTTGCTTTTCTGGAGCTGAGAAACCTTAAAATTGTTCCCAGGTGAGTCCAGGAGAAGTCTTCATACTTGTTTTGGCAGCTGATCTTCTCTCTGCAGACTTAGATTGTGGACTATGATAGTTACACCCTCAGCACAGCCCATGTCTCAGAAATATGTGGGAACCAGGTGATTTCCCAGCCTCCTGACTGAGAGGTGGGATTTTCCATCCTCTAAAAGGGTCACTTCCCAGTTTCTCACTTGGTGTCTGAAAGCACCGTCCTTGCTTTCTCCATCATGGAGACTCTGGTAGCCTAGAGCAGGGGCCTCTGCACCTCTTGGGGCTACTGGGATAGGGGGACGAGGAAATAGAGCAGCATCCCACTTCTGAAAATGCCCTGTGCTGCAGGCCAGAACTCCCCCATAAGTCTGGGCTGGGAGAATGTATTTTGGCTATGCAGGGTGGCCCTGGTATTGGGGTTGGCACTTGAAGGGAGGGGCAGGTGCATCTAAGGTGGGGTATAGCCATGATGTGAGTCCTAGGGAAGCCAATCCTGTGGCCCCATAGCTTCCTGCATGGTTCTCTTCCCCAGCATACCTGGGATATGTGGACAGAAACTCAAGAAGGTGGGCAGAGCAGAGTCTGGCTCGCTCTAAGATAGGCTCGATGAATGTTTAAGGATAAAAAAGCAAATGGATAGCAGTCATGATAGCTAGCATTTATATAGTACTTAAGTCACATGTATTTACACACACACACACACACACACACACACTTATGTATATCCAACTCAAAAGGACCCCTCCTTGGGTTTCCGAGGTGGTATCACTATGGAACTAGATTGCCCAACCTTCCTTCCGAGGAGCAGCTGGTGGGTTTGAACCTCCAGCCTTCTGGTTAGCAGTCAAGTGCCTTAGGCACTATATCACCAGAGCTCCTATATATTTTTTCTTTTTAATAACCTAAAGGTTTTTTGAACCTACTCAGTGGTACTGCAGAGGAAAGGCCTGGTTGGTTTGTTTTCTGCAAAGATTACAGCCAAGAAAATCCTATGGAGCAGTTGTACACTGTAACACATGGTGTAGCTATGAGTCAGAATTGACTTGAGGTCTGGTTGGTTTGTTTGAGCTATCCTTTAATCTTCAGAATAGCCCTATGAGGTTAATGCAGAGATTCAGACCCAGGTGGTCTGGGTCTAGAGGTAGAATGAGTGAATGGTCTAGAACCCCCTTGGTTCTCCCACAGTGTGTCAGCATCACGCGATGTTTTTCCAAATTCCATTCCTCAGGGAGGGGTAGGTGGCAGCAGGGCAGGTTAAGAGGCACAGCCTCAAAGCAGCCACAAACCTGGTGCGCCTGTCCGCAGTGCTGATCTCCCACTCCTTCTCCACCCAGCACTGGAAAGGATGACTCTAAGGATAGGGGGCTCTAGAAGGAGGTTGAGGGGCCACTGAGGACTGTGAGTAGTGTTGGGCATATCGACCAAGTGATGGGTTGGCAGGCTTAGGGCAGCCACAACTCTGCCCTAGTAGGTAAGAGTCGGGTTCAGGAGTCCAGTAGCCCGCTGTGGGTGGTGGTGGTGCTGGTGATGGGAAGGGAGAGGAGGAGCTGTGTCTGAGAGACCAGGGGTGGGGGTGGGGTGGCCCCGCCCAGGCCCGGCCCCGCCCAGGCCCGGCCCCGCCCGGTCCCTGCTCCCTAGACCTGCCACCGGCGCCTGCTTTCGCTTTCAGTCAGAGGCGCAAGAGCGCAGCGCGCGTAGTGTAAACCGAGGCAAAAGGGCGCTAAGGGCCAAAAGGCACCGCCGGACGCCGTCGCGCCGCCGGCAACGTGGCGCCCGCTGCCCTCTGGGCAGCACTGGCTGTCGGACTGCAGCTGTGGACTGCGGTACTCGCCCAGGTTGATGACTTGCATGGTCCCATGGAGGCGCTTGCCCCTCACGCTTACCCTGCCGTTGCGCAGCGCCGGGGTGCCAGGTCTGCGCCCTCCCGGGCCACCGTGTCAGAGGTGAGTGGTTCCGGGGAACTGAGAAGCGCACGCCGCTGGGGCCTCGGTGCCCACCCACCTGGCACACACGCGCCCTGGGCGGAATTCTGGTCGTAGTAAGCCTAGCGGCGCAAGGACGCAAACCTGGGGTGGAGTGGAGGGCTCCCCCGTCCACCCACCAGAGCCTAGGCTAGGGCGTTTGGGGCCAGTCAGAGGCCCTGGCCAGATCCCCGCTAGACCCCTGACCCTCCTTCCTTACTCCTACGACTACCACAACCAGGCTTCCCCACTTGCAGGGTCGTTCTTGGGGCGCTGCCCCTACGGCTGGCCCTTGACACCCTCTTCAGAAGACTTTATTTTCTCTGGGCTATGGTTTTCTCCTTTCTTAGAAACACCAGGGCTGCTGGACATAGCAAACCGGCCAGGTGTGCAGTCAGTGCCTAGTAAGGGCAAGGTGTGCAGTCAGTGCCTAGTAAGGGCACAGTCGGACTGTGACTGTCTTCCTTCTCCCTTGCCCAGTGTTTTTCCAAGAACCCATCCGATTGTGTCCAGGGACCATTTCAGAGCCTGTTTCCGGTGGACTCTGGGGTGAGAGGGAGGAGAAAGTGTCTTCCAGCCCCCTCAGCTAAGGTCTTGGAAGGGCCTGTGTTGGAGCTCTGGGAACAGAGGAGATGAGGGAGCCCTTATAGGCTATTTATCAAGGCAGATGACGCCTCCAAGGGACCCCAGAGCTGCTGTTCAAAACTAACATCACCCCAACTCACCACCCCTGTGGTTCAACTTTCAGCTAAACAATAGACAGGCCTATAAGGTGAACACTAATACCGGGAAGGAGCTCTGGTAGCCTAGTGCCTAAGGCACTTGACTGCTAACCAGAAGGCTGGTGGTTCAAACCCACCAGCCACTCCTTGGAAGGAAGGTGGGGCAATCTACTTCCGTAGTGATACTGCCTTGGAAACCCAAGGAGGGGTTGCTATGAGTCGGGTCCGACTTGACGGCACATAACAACAACAACACCGGGGAGATACGTATTTCTTAGAACAACCAACCATAAGAGATCCAAAGGGCAGCATTTGCCCCGGGATAAAGCTCAGGAGGCAGGAAAGGATTGGAAAGAAGGACAAATGGAATACAGGGAGGAAGTGGGAAGAGTGCTGCTACATTGTGGGAATTATAATCGAGGTCAGTAATCAAAATGTGTATGAATTATTGAATGGAAAACCAATTTGTTCTGTAAACTTTCACCCAAATCACAATAAAAAGTTTTTTATTTTTTTTTAAAAAAACCTAACATTACTGAGAGAGTCTACAAAGAGATTGATTCCGTATCCTTTGCTTTGTTTGGCTGTCCCCATGTTTGGTAAGATAACCCACTGCCATTGAGTTGATTCTAACGCATAGTGATCGCTATTGGGTTTCCAAGGCTGTACATCTTTATGGAAGCAGATTGCCTCATCTTTCTCCCATGGAACAGCTGATGGGTTTGAACCACCGACTTTCTGGTTAGCAGTCAAATGCCTTACTTGGTAAGATAGGATAACCCCATTTTACAGAGAAGGGAAAGACTCAGAGGATTCCTTGTTTCATGTAAGGGTGTGGGTCACTCTTCCTGCTGGGAGGAGCTGTGCATGCACCCTCTCCCTCATGATCCTGCCCAGAAGGACTGGGGTATACTGACCCATCTGGATGCCTTGACGGGGAAGAAGATGGGGTGGTGGTGTTGGCTCCTGTGGTGACATGTCTGAAGTGACTTGCTGATGCAAAGCCAAAGACATCTTTAGAGTCCAGTTCTTAATGGCAAAAGATGGGGCTGTTAACTTGAATTGACTCACCCACAGTGGGTGTTAGGAGTGGGTCCTGTGGGCTGCCCCCAAGCTTGTCCTGAGAACAGGGGAGGTTCTGGGTGGACTTTGGGTGAGGAGAGTGCCGGCTTGGAGAATGGATATGATTGCTGGTGGCTGTGGTCTCCAGCCTCTTGACAGGCTCTTGAGGGAGAGGCTTCCTGCTGCTGAGTTTAGGCCTTCTGGGGTGACTCCAGGGCCATGTGAGCCTCAGGGAGCGTGAGGCACAGGGCTTCTCTGCAGGATACCTGGCCAGAGCCCTGACTTGTTTGAGAGGTGTTTTCCTAGCATCTCTCTTATCCCTCCCCTCTTGACCACCAGCTCCATTGTCAGTTCAGAGGCCCCCCCCCATTATTGCTACAGGCCTCCTGTCCCCACTCCCACTGATCTCTCTTGGATAGCACTGCTGGAGAGGCCTTCTCAAGCCTGGAGCGCTTCTCCTCCCACCTGGAAATCCGTGGCTCCCGGTGGCCAAGACAGAAACCTCTTCAGGTTCCCAGCTCCCACCTACCTACCTCATACCCTGAGAAATGGATGACTGGATGGTTATCATGTGTCTACCTACTATGCCTTTGCCATGCTGATCCCTGTCCTTGGTACACCCCTCACCCCCATCTCGTCCTGTTGACACTCTACTCTTTCAGGACTTTTCACGAATGCTGCCCCCTCCTGGAAACTTTTCCTCATTTGCCCAGTTTCTCGCAGTTGGATTTGGTTCTTTTCTCTTCCAATGCTCAGAGTCCTTTGGTCCTCTCTAGGGCAGATCACATTCTGGTTTTTTTAAGTGTAGTTATGTTGTTGTTTTTATGTGTGGTTAAGTGGATTCTGACTCATAGCAACTCTATATGACAGAGATGAACTGCTCCAGAGAGTTTCCCAGGCTGTGATCGTTGTGGGAGCAGATCACCAGGTCTTTTCTCCTGAGGAACTACTATGTGGGTTCGTACTGCTAAACTTTCTCTTAGCAAGGGAATGCTTAACCATTGTGCCACGAAGGCTTCTTAGTTGTGTCTTTTCTAGCTCAATAGATGGAAGGTTCCTTGAGGGCAGGGACCAAGGGTTTCTCCTTCTCCTCATTATTATCACATTAGTTCCTGTTTGTTGAACATCTACTAAGTGCCAGGTACTATACTAGGTGTTTTACCATAGAATCTCATTGAAACACTTACAGCAATACCTAAGAGGTGAATGGTACTGTTCCCATTTAGGGATATGGAAACTGAGGCTCAAAAAGGTCATGAAATTTCCCAGGATCACAGAGTTATGGGATGGGGATAGTGGGTTTGAACGAAGGTCTGCCTGATTCCAAAGCAGCTTCCCCAGTGCCCCTGTCCCCATTTCTCCCCTTCGTCTAGTCCTTCACACACAGTAAGTACTTAATAATGTTGAGATTACTGATCTGAGTTGCAGAAAGAGCCCCAAGGAGACCCAAATTTGGCAGGTGAGGCAAGCTCACTTTGCCATTGGGACTTTGCTTCTGTTAAAAGCTGTATTTACCTGCCCATCTGCAATACATCATTCGTTCATTCAGTTTGACCATTCATTCATTCATTTGACAAATAAATGCCAGAAAAGCAGGCAGGATAGGTGAGTGCTTGGTGCTGTCTACTGGGGATAGGAAGGACCCTGTCTGTCTGTCTGCTTTTTGCTGGGGAGGAGGGTGAGAGGGTCTCTACCTTCTGGGCTTTAGTTTGTCTCAGGAAGACTTGAGACTGAGGGGCTAATGTTTTCTTCCTTACCACCCAGGGGCCTTGACCAGCTTGGTTGGAGGAGAGGATGGGAGCTCTCTGGTTGGCCTGGGGACGTTAGCTATTGGCGCAGAGTTGGGTGATCTGGGGTACCAGCTGCCCAGCAGGCTTCTTTCACCTGTGACTGACCACATCCCAGAGGGGAGACCTGTGTGTGGCTGTGGGTAGTGGTCAGGTGGCCAGGCCCCTTGAGGCGGTGCCATTCATTCACTCATTCATTCCCTCAACATTCATGCACACCTACTCTAAAGTCAGTCCCATGCCTGACTCTGGGGACCCTGAGATGACCATGACTTGGCCCCAGCCTTTCAGGAGCCATGCTGCCAGGTGGTCACACAGACCTGGGTTCTGCCTCTAACTGCCTTTGTGACCTGGGCCAAGCTTGTAAGACTGTTTTCTCATCTGTAGATGAAGAGAGTACTTGTTACCTTGCCTTTCTCGTGAGACCTTGCATCCCCCACACTAGCTAGTGATGGGGCAGCCCACGGGCAATGACTCAGAGCCCCCGTAGGCAGGATTTGTCTGGAAACAGGTAGGGAGGGAAGTCAAGGACTAGGGTGGGGAGAGGGGTGCTCCTGGGGGAGCACAGCCAAGTGGAGATGCCGGGGTTCTGGCTCCAGACCCTCCTGTGCTAGACAGGCAGTATTTAGAGGAAGAGCTAGAACTCAGAATCGTACAGACCTCCACTGAAACCCTCACTCTGCTATCTACTGGTTATGTGACCTTGGCAAGTCTTTTCATCTCTGGGAGCCTCTGTTTCTTCATCTATAAAATGAGAATAATTCCCCCCTCACTGGCTGGCTGTTAGAATTAAAAATGCTTTATGGCCCAATGTTACTGAATTATACCTCTAGATATTGTTGAAATGGCATAGGTCTTGTTATAGATGTTTTCACTACAATAAACAACAACAACAACAAAAAATTTAAGTTCTTTATGGGCTTTGAAGTGCACTAATTTCTATTTGAGCCATTCATGTCTTTGCAGGGCCTGACCTGACCCTCTGGGTCATGGGGAGGGTGCTCAGGCCCAGGCAGGTACCATCTGGGGAGTCTGAGGGCCCAGTGGCCTGGTGGGCAGACCTCCAGCTGCCCCCTGCCTAGAGTTCCTGCCCAGGTGGCTTTACTGTCTACCCTCCCTAAGACAGCTAGCTTCCCTCCTGCCCACGTTTTCCCAGCTGTGCTTCCTGCCTTGATACCCCCTTACTGGCCTGAGGGACTCAGAAAATCACTCCCCTGCCCCTCCCACACCTTTCAATGAGTGACAGGTGCTGTATGCCATTTGGAGGTGAGCTAGGGGCACATTTGATATAGTACATAGGGATCTCATGGTCTCTCTGTGAAGAGGATGCAGAAGGTCTCAACTTTCCCACCTGCAAAATGGGTACAGATTAATTCCAGACTGTCTCTAAACCCTCTTCATTCTGTGGAGC